CCTTCAGATTGTTCTAGGCTGTTGTTTCCATGCCTCCACCCCTACTGCTTGTGACTCATCTCTCCTTTCCTGACTTTCCTTCTAGCTTCACATATGGTGGTGTCACCTGGAACTGTGCCCCACTGGAAACTCTTTTAACATCTTTACAGTGTGCGTCATCGACCTCTAGTCTCTTTGAGGACACTGTAACTCCTACGGTCCTCTCCCTAGTTCCGTATCCCTATGGCATTGGCAGGGGAAAATTTTTTTAGTGTTTTCTTGCTACTTGGAGGCTATTTCTTCTCCGCCCTCATTAAACAAAACAAAACAAAACAATACACTTTTTTTTCTTTTATTTCTTTTTTTTGGGAAATGGAGTCTCTCTCTGTCACCCAGGCTGGAGTGCAATGGCACGATCTCACCTCTCTGCAACCTCAACCTCCCAGATTCAAGCAATTCTCCTGCCTCAGCCTTCTGAGTAGCTGGGATTACAGGTGCCTGCCACCACACTTGGCTGATTTTTGTATTTTTAGTAGAGTCAAGGTTTCACCATGTTGGCCAGGCTAGTCTCCTGACCTCAAGCGATCCGCCCACCTTGGCCTGCATTCAGGGCGCATCTTTTCACGCTGGCTGGAGTCCCCTGTGTGTAAGCATTGCGTTGGTTCACACCTTCTCCTGCCGATGGACACTTTGTTCTCATCCAGTTATTGGTAATGAGGAAAAGGCCTAAACACTCGTGTGCAAGTTGATGTGCGATGTAGGCGCGTTTAAGTTTTCTCTTGGGGGGAATTCCAGGAGTGGGATTGCTGGATGATGTCCTAAGGATGGATTAACTTAATAAGAAACTCCTGGATCACTTTCCAGCATGGCGGGACCCGCCCCCCCACCCCGATTCCTACTGCAGCTCAGGAGGGTCCCAGGTTGGCTGTTGGTTTCTGTCTGATTTTAGACATTCTAATGGATTTGCAGAGGGACTGCTGATCAGCATTTCTCCAACATGTCTGTGATGCTGAGTGTCTGTCCTGAGCAATCTGCCCTCCTGATGCCTTCTCTGATGAGGCCTTCATTCAAATATTTGCCCTCTCTTTTATACTGGGGTTTTCACTTTCTTATTGTTAAGTTTTGACGGTTCTTCACATATTCTGCGTGCCAGTACGTTGTGAAATGTGTGATTCACAAATATTTTTTTCTAGACCATAGTTTGTACTTTCATTCTCTTTAAATTCTTACATTGCTGTATAGAGTTACAATTTTAAATTTGTGACTAAATTTAATTGGTCAATATTTTCTTTTATGAATCATGCTTTTGGTGTCAGGTCTAAGAACTTTTCACCAAACCTGAGGCCATGCAAAATTTCCCGTGTTTTTATCTAAAGGTTTTATAGCATCATGTTCTAAGTTTAGGCCTGTGACAAACGTTGAATAGCATTTTGTATCAGCCGTGGCCATTTCTTCTTTCATCTCTGACAGTATCGTGGGCGTTTGCCGCTCCCTGCGCCTTGTGCTCTTCCTGTCTTCTTGGTCTGCTCTTCCTGTGAGTTTCAGGGGATGTCTTAGTGCTGGCGCTGTCCTGGTCCATTGGGGGTCCTGTGGGCTTGTCTACGTGGGAAAGTTGGGACTGTGATGCTGACGGGATGCCTGTGAGTCAGGGAGGTGCTGATGGGGGTTTCCATGTAGCAGAGGGAGGCGTTTGGTTTTCCAGATGGGACAGACTTGGGAGGGGATGAACTTGAGAAATGCCACTGATGAGAGGCCCAGGCAGAGCAGGTCTTGGGCTGCCCCTCTGTGTGAGCACCAAACGTGGATGTGTCAGTGGCCACGCCGGGAGGGAACCCTCAACCACAGGCCTCTGGGTGTCCAAGGCCAAGTCTTATTCAAGAGGTGCATTCAGCAGAGCCAACCATGGCAGAAATACATAAGGGCAATCCTATGTTTCCTTGGTTAAATCCTCTGCTAATCCCACCCGACTCAGAGAGCGAGCCAAGTCCTCACAGCGGCCTACAAGCCCCGCCTGAGTCACATCCTCTCGGCTCTGATTCTCCGTGCCTGTCTACCCCTCACTATCTCCTCTCCCACCAGAGAAAAGATTTTCCACGTTCATTCTGGTGGATTCAAACCCATCTTTGCCACACAGATGGTCTATAAAGAGTCCTGTTGAAAAAGAAAACGGCAGGCTGGCATGGTGGCTCGTGCCTGTAATCCCAGCCCTTTGGGAGGCTGAGGCAGGTGGATCACCTGAGGTCAGGAGTTTGAGACCAGCCTGGCAAGCATGGTGAAACGCTGTTTGTAGTAAAAATACAAAAATTACCTGGCATTGTGGTACATGCTTGTAATTCCAGGTACTCGGGAGGCTGAGGCAGGAGAATCGCTTAAACCCAGAAGGCAGAGGTTGCAGTGAGCTGAGATTGTGCCACTGCACTCCAGCCTGGACGACAGAGCAAGACTCCGTCTCAAAAGCATAATAGTAGTAATAATAAAAGAAAAAGGCAAAAATTTAAACAGCTAAATAGAAACATGGCAAAAGAGTTGAACCAGCCCTTCACAGAAGAAAAAAAATGTGGAGGAATGGCTGATAAAAACATGAAGAGGGTCTCAGCCTAACAGGGTGAGATATCAGGTGACACCCACCAGACTGACAAAAATCACACAATCAGTGAGGGTATTGAGGAGAATGGAGAGCCACAGGAACACTCACCCAATGCTAAGAATGATGGTAAATTATTTTTGCTATGCTTGCTTATGAAAGGGTGTGTGTTGTGGGTTATGAGGAAAATTACGTTTCTTACTTATATGAAATTTTAAAATTGAAAGCTACCGACCAGAAGAAACTGCACTTGTGTACAAAAGAAATGCCCAAGAACCTTCACAGCAACACAGTCCTAGGGGACCCAGCTGGCCAAACACTCATCAACAGAAAAATGAAGACATTTCCCACGGTCCCCTCACACCACGGGAGATCACACAGCAATGAAAATGAATTGGGTCAGTGTGGACGGGTCTCAAAAAGAGAACGGAGGACAAAAACAGACATGGAGCAAATGCTCAGAGCCAGTGCAGCAGAGGAGCAGCCACACAGGAGACTTTCTTCACATCAAAGTTCAAAACTGCAGCCGATGCAACAGAGCAAGACCCTGTCTCACAAAGACAACAGAGTGTTCAAAAATCACATGCAGTATTGTTTAGGGATGCGCACACACCCGTGGAAAGAAACGTACCACAAAGAAAAGTACAGGAGTGATAAAGACTAAAGCAGAAAGTGACTCCCTCTGAAGGAGAAGGGAAGGGACTGGGATGCAGGAGGGGCCTCCAGGGAGCATCCAAAGTTTGGTTTCTTCAGATTCTATTCCCTAAACTTGGTGGAGGTCCCTTGTGTCCAATGTGTGAATATTCCTTACACCTGACCCACATTATACAAGTGCTTTTTTTCTAGACAGTATTGAGAAGACAGTTATAAACAAGATGTGTTAAAGAGCAAGATGGCAGATGAGCATCAGGAAGGAACACCAAGCACATTTGAGATGTTCCACCCATGGAACCTCACCATGGATACCCTTGTGCTCACACGCCTGGCCTCCCCTCAAAACACAGTCAGTTGTCGGAGATCAGAGGCCACACTCATCACAGCACAGGGGCAGGACCAGCTGGGACAGGGTCCTTCTGTGACATCTACTGCATCCCCAGGCTATGCAAAGCGACCCAGCTGCCAGGTCTCACAGAAGGTGACTATGCACTGAAACCACGTGGGGAAAATGGTAAGTTCTCACTTTGTTCATTACTAGCAACTCTCAGATTCACCTCTATCCTTCACCCCTTCTCCATGAAACAATTTTATAGAGCTTTGCTTGGACCTATTTTTATATTTATTTTTATTTTACTAACTATTGAAGAGATATATATTGTGTGTATGTGCGATTTTGTTTTTGTCAGTCAGGATAATCCTGGTTAAATTTCTACTATTATTATTATTGCCAACATCATTTAGTTTTTTTTAAGCTTTTCAATTCCTGAGGTTATTGATCAGGGTCTTTCTGTCTTGTGAGGCAGAAAACAAATCCCAACCGTGTAGGAGGAAACAATGCATTGATACCGAGGACTGAGACACTCCCAGGCTTACCTTGCTTGGGGTACAGCTACATTTACAGTTTCTGGTGCCCTCCTGTGACTCTCTCTCTCTCTCTCTCTCTCTCTCTCTCCTTCTTCAACTTTGGCTCCATGTTTAGCTCCAAGAACCTCAGACAGAACAGCTGACTCCTCCCCAGGATTCCAGCTAACCGACCCTCACTCTACAAGAGCAGCACTGGATTCTCCGGGATCTCTGACTCAAACTAAAGTGACAACCGCTCCTGCCCAGGTCCTCAGCTGTGCGACCTTCAAACTAAAGAAAGAATCATTTCTGCCCAGGTCCACAGCTAAATGGCCCTCAAACTAAAGAAGGAACCACTCCTGCCCAGGTCTGCAGCTGCGCGGCCCTCAAACTACAAAAAGAACTGCTCCCGCCCATGTCTGCAGCTGGGCAGCCCTCAACCTAAAGTAAGAACTGCTCCTGCCCAGGTTCACAGCTGCACGGCCCTCAAAATACAAAAAGAACTGCTCCTGCCCAGGTCTGCAGTTGTGTGGCCGTCAAACTAAAGAACTGCTCCTGCCCAGGTCCGCAGCTGCGTGGACCTCAAAGTACAAAAGGAACTGCTCAGCCAAGGTCCCCAGCTGTGCAGCCATCAACCTAAAGGAAGAACTGCTCCTGCACAGGCCCCCAGCTCCGTGGACTAAAGTAAGAACTGCTCCTGCCCAGGTCCCCAGCTGTGTGGCCCTAAAACTACAAAAAGAACTGCTCCTGCCCAGATCTGCAGCTGTGCAGCCCTCAACCTAAAGAACTGCTCCTGTCCAGGTCCGCAGCTGCGTGGCCCTCAGACTACTAAAAGAACTGCTCCTGCCCAGGTTCACAGCTGCATGGCCCTCAAAATACAAAAAGAACTGCTCCCGCCCAGGTCTGTGGTTGTGCAGCCCTCAGACTACTAAAAGAACTGCTCCTGCCCAGGTCCCAAGCTGTCCAGTCCTGAAACTAGAGTAAGAACTGCTCCTGCACATGTCCACAGCTGTGCGGACCTCAAACTAAAGTAAGAACTGCTCCTGCCGACGTCCGCAGATGTGCATCCCTCAAACTACAAAAAGAACTTCTCCTGCCCAGGTCCCCAGCTGTGCGACCCTAAAACTAAAATAAGAACTGCTCCTGCCGAGGTCCACGGCCTTATAATCCTCCAAATAATGTAAGAACTGCTCCTGCCCAGGTCCGCAGCTGTGTGGCCCTCAAACTACAAAACCCTCAACTCCATTGCCCCCTTCTACTTCCGCACTCACTACTCAACTTTTTAATACCCAACTCTGAGTTGAAGCATTAATAAAAGTGATAATTAACATGTTTGGTGAAGTGGCACCATCACATGCTTGTGATTCTCAATTTCGAAGCTATTTGGAACTCTTTCAATGTGTCCAGAAGTTGGCTATGTTGCCCATTTCTCCCTGTCATTATGTCTCCTAATGGACCCCTTTTCTTATGCTCAGCAGTTTGCACTACTGTCTAGTTTTCTGAAAAAAACATATGCCCTCTGGTAGTCACTCTTTCATATAATGCCATTTGTCTGCCTCTCTGCACACTGCTTTCTCAATGGAAAAGATGTCCTCCCTACCTGCCTGTCACTTTATCTGTCCTTAAAATCCCATCTCTTTTTGTATCTTTTATTTTTTGAGACAGAGTTTCCCTCTTGTCGCCCAGGCTGGAGTGCGGTGGCACAATCTTGGCTCAATGCAACCTCCTCCTCCTAGGTTCAAGTGATTCTTCTGCCTCAGCCTCCCCAGTAGCTGGGACTAAAGGCGCCCGCCACCATTCCTGGCTACTTTTTGTATTTTTAGCAGAGATGTTGTTGGCCAGGCTGGTCTCGAACTCCTGATCCCAGAGGATCCACCCACATCGGCCTCCCAAAGTGCTGGGATTACAGTCATGAGCCATTGCGCCTGCCCCTCTTTTTATATCTTTAACCTTTACTTCTCTTCACTCTTCTGCTCCCCAGCACATGCACAAATCAGTTTTGCTCATCACACACACACACACACACACACACACACACACAACTCCATGAATCCTGAAGCCTCTCTCTAAAGACTGTACTTGCCTCAGCTTGTCTACCTTTCACTTGCCTTTTAAGGAAAAGAGGGCTGGGTGTGGTGGCTCATGCCTATAATCCCAGCTCTTTGGGAAGCTGAGGTGGACAGGTTGCTTGAGCTTAGCAGTTCAAGACCAACCTGGGCAACACAGTGAGACCCCATCTCTACAAAAAATTAGCTAGATACAGTGGCACATGCCTATAGTCCCAGCTACTCAGGAGGCTGAGGCGGGGGGATTGCTTGAGCCTGGGAGGTAGAGGTTGCAATGAGCCAAGATTGGGCCACTGCAGTCCAGCCTGGGCAATACAGTGAGATCCTGTCTCAAAAAACAAAACAAAACAAAACAAAACCCAACCAAAAACAAGGAAAGAGAATGGGACCAGGAACAATAAAAATGAGAGTCAGAGCAAAGTTTCAATAATCTGGCTGCAAAGACACTGAATAGAAAACTGTTTCTTTGAACATAGCTGGTGGCAGACCTACAGAAATCTCAGAACAATGGAAAGAGAGCAAAGGAGATAGTAGAAGGCAAAGGCAGATACACAGCTTCCTTCTGATCAGAAATGGAAATACACAACTCATTTTGTTAAAGCCAGGTAATTGGGCAAAGAAGGAGGAAGACCAAGCAAGATCACGCTGCAGACAAGTGAAAGAAGGACCAGAGGAGATACCTGCATCAGGGCAGGAAGGGGAGGGCCAAGGAGGAGACTATTCTTTGAGAGGCTGTGGGAAAAAAATATGAAGGAAGGGCAAAATGAGTTGTCTCAAAGAACAGACAAACCATCATCCATGTTGTAACACCACACAGCTTTTCAAAGCCTTTTCACATTTGAGATTTTGTTTTCATCTTCAGTAGCCCAAGGAGGCAGGTATCATGGGTGACTGAGAACAAGGGGGAAGTAGATGAAGCAAAAGCAGAAATAAAAGCAAATAAAGAAGAGTGGCTCATTTAGGGAAAGAGGCGATAAGAGAGTACAGCGAAAGCGCTGTTAAAGGCTTAATCAGAGAAGGCAAGAAGGAAAGCAGTGAGGCTGGATGGTGATAGCTTTCACGTTTAGAGGCCAAGAAGAGGGGATGGAATTTCCCACTTCCCCATTCCATGTCTGCTTCTCCTCCTCTCCTCTTTCTTCCCTTCCCTTTCCTTCCCTTCCTCCTCCTTCACCATTGTTGAGGAAGGAAAATCCTGGAGGAGACTGAGTGGCACAAACATACCTAAAAATTATAGATTCCTAAACAGGGGAATTATTAATTGTTCATTGGCTAATGGATAAGCTTCAGGGGCTGAAGAAATGCTCAAAATTGTATACAGAATGTTGTGTGTTTTTGGTTTATGTATTTTTTCGGGGGTGAAGTAAAGACCAGGGAACAAATCTTGAATCTGAATCTAGGGATTTGAAAACTCTACCCAATATTAAGAGTTGCCTTGTTGAAGTACAGGAATACATATATGAAGGAGTAAAGAACTTAAATCAAATACCCAAAGATGGGAAATGATTCCAAGCTTTTTAAGAGTCTAAATGGAGGAAGACAGTGAACTGTGTGATACACAGACTCCGCATAAACAATAAAACAGTAAGTTTACTTAATAAACTGGGGCTAGGGGACATGGGGAAAGTGTTTAGATCAGCCATGTGGATTCCAGACTTGAGACAAAGAGTCCATCAGGCAAGCCGATTAGATTCAAGTTGTGGAAAATGTGGATGTCACTGGAATATATGTCCTAAATGGGCAAATTAGAAAATAAATCAAAGCACCAAGAAGGCTGGGAGGAAGGAAGGGAGCAAGAGAAACACAGGTGCCAACTAATCTCTAGTTGATGAACAGCAATATTGCTTCTGGTAAGAAAATATCCATTAAGATTAGGCCAAGGGCAGGGCTGAGATAACGTATTCAGAGACAGACAACGAATATAGATCAGGGAGGGGTCAGTTTGCCTGAGATGACAGGAAGCTGCAAAGTACATGATGGAATAGATGGAGGTCAATTGGCTAGGAACAACAGGAAATTGCTCATAAACAGGGTATATGAAAGCTTCCAAAAGGGAAGATACTGAATAAAAATAAGGAAACTAAATTTATCTGTATGAAAGGAACAAAGCCTCCAGGGGACAGAAGGAACACAAACTCTATAAAGTGTGAAAGTCAGGAATAACTTAGCTCTGATAACAGTTTGGCTACTATTCATTCATTCATTTGTTAGTTCATTCAACAATACTTCTCTGTGCTAGTTACACTATTAGGCACTGGAAAAAAAATGAACAAGATGACATGGTCATCAAGGATGCTAAGTGACAAGCAGGTAGGCAAAACGTAAGTTATAATGATTAAAGAATGATTAAATTCAAATTGTATTAAATGCTCTGAAGCAAATGTATAGAGTGCTGTAAGACTCTCTAGTTGGGAATCAAGTGGTCTTACAGGGAGGTCAGGAATGGCTGGTAATTTGCAGGTGAGTAGGCATTGGATGGTTGGAAATATTTCAGATAAAAGGAATCATTTGTGCCAATTTCTTAGATTAAGAAGACTCATGGTGTTGACAGGATCTAAAAGCTGGACAGAAAAGCCATGCCATGCAGGCCACACAGGTCATGTTAATGATATTAGACTATACCTTCAAAACAATAGGAAGTCATAAGAAAGTTTTAAAGAGGGTCAGGCACGGTGGCTCATGCCTGTAATCCCAGCACTTTGGCAGGCCGAGGTGGAAGGATCACCTGAGGTCAGGAGAATTCGAGACCATCCTGCCCACCATGGCAAAACCCCAAATCTAATAAACATATAAAAAATTAGCTGGGTGTGGTGGTGGGTACCTATAATCCCAGCTACTAGGGAGGCTGAGGCAGGAGAATTGCTTGAATCTGGGAGGCAGAGCTTGCAGTGAGCTGAGATTGTGCCGCTGCACTCCAGCCTGTACAAGAACGAAACTCCATCTCAAAAAACAACAACAAAAAAAAGAAAATAAAAGAAAGTTTTAAGTAGAAGAGTGATACAATCGCATTTGAGATTGAGCAACATGACTCTGGCTGCAGAATGGCAAGGGTTTGCAGAGGGAGGAGAGTGGAGATGAGCTAGGAGGCTAGTATAATAGGCCAGGTGAAAGCCTATGGCGATTCAGATGAGGTTGGTAATCATCAAAACAGAGACAATTAGATGGATTTGAAACACATTTAGGAGATAGAATCAATAGAACTAAATGTGGCATGGGAGGTGGAAGAGGTGTTTAGGATGATTGATACCCAAGTTTCTGGCATGAGAAACTTAGTAAATGGTGGTGGCATTTACGACATACAATAGAGCAAAATTTTTAGAGCTCAAAAGTTTTAGTGGCTCTTTCACATGAAATGACATGCTGACTGCTCAGCAGATGAATGAAGAGGACCCATAACTAGGCACAGCTTATGAAATTTCAGAACACAAGGGAGAAAGGTGATTCTAAAGTTTTCAGGGAATAAAAATAGGTCACCAACAAAGAAACAATGAAAGAATATAATTTCACTGGCATGTGATATCTCATGAACAAAACTGGGTTCTAGAAGATAATAGAATCATGTATCCAAAGTTCTGATAAAAACCATTTTGGACCTTGAAAAACTATCAGACAATTATATGAGCAAAATTAAAGCATTTTTAGACACCCAAGGATTCTGAATTTTTACTTCTTATTATTCTTTTCTGATAATTTATGACAGCAAAATAAGGATAAAAAATTGAAAATAAAAGACATGGTATATAAAGACAGTAGAACTAATTTACAATATAAAGAAAATAGGTTCCAAGATGATAGCTTCCTAGAAGGCTGAAATACAATTTATCTACATTAGAAGAAGATGTCAGTGAGCTCCAGGAAAAGAATCTTTAAGAAGAATAAAGTGGAGTCTTTCAAAATATACAATGAATAAAAAGTTAGTGGCAATGATAAGTGAAGAATTTACTTGTTCTCCCAAGACAAATAAAAGGTAACTTGCAATTCCAAAGAAAACTAAAAGCTACAAAAATTATCATCATGTATAAAGCAAACTGAAATTTGACATGTTTTGAACCTCTATGCTAAGAACATTATTCTTTTAGAGACCCCTAGAGATTATGACATTTGATCAAAAAGAAGAAAATGTAATCTTAGATATCACTTGCCTTTGCAGTGAGTAATTAGGATATATGTGCTGTTTATTGGCTTTCAACTTTAAAAATTAACTCATCAACTAGGCATGCATAAATTAATGATGGTAACAAAGTAGAATGAATATGCATTAATTATTGACTATGTAAAAATAAAGTCATAGCTAACGCAAATTGAGAAATGGAAGCCTTAGCTTACCTAGAAAGAAGCCAAAAGAATTATCTAAAATTTGTGGAATAAAAATTGTTTTTCTAACAGCATTTAGTTGTAACCAAAAGATGGGCTAAACACTTTAAAATTAAAATTTAGGA